ACTGCAGGGTCCATCTCCTCATGGGGAAGATTCTGTCTGAAGACCACTTCGTCGGAATCCTCCAGAAGCGCCCTCACACGGGGCGTAGGTTTCCCACGCGCCGGCGACGCCCCAACCTTTCTGAACCGTCTCCACCTGTACAGTCCAATGGTGGTGTCTGTTTCTCCAAACTGTTTTTGATTTCATCAGAATACGCCAAAACAGATCCGGCAGAAAATTGAAAAAATCGAACAGTTTCTGCCTCTAATTTTCAGACTCGTTTTTGACCACTTTCAGCCCGTTTTTAGCCCCCAAAATCACAGATTTATCAATAACAGAAGCTCTGATACCATTTGTAGCGGAAATCCTTCGATAAATCTTGATTCCGGGCTCAGAAAACAATCAAACGAACACCGGTTTACTTTGGCTCGACCCGAGACTTTCACCTTCACTTTGGACTGCTCTCTTTCTCTCTATCCCCACAAAGGAGAAGGATGGTGGTGTTAGCAATCTACAAAGGTATGGGGAGGAAGAAGAACGCTGGTTGAATCTTACTCACAACCTCACATGGCTTCCCTCTCTCTCGGTTGCCTCTCTTCTCTCAACTCTCCTCTCCATTGCTATAACACACACACCACACAAAAACGGCTGGAAGATAAATACATATATATATAGGTTAGTTTAGGTCACTCTAATTAGGCCTAGGGTTCACTAAGCGGGCTACCAATTAACCTAAACTAATGGGCCAATATTCAACTCCATATTAATCACTAAATGGTCCAACTAACCAAATAATCATCCAACCCAAACCCGAACCATCCAAAAGTGTAGTTCATCTCCAAATCGAGCCAAATCCATGGTGTCGATAAATAATCCGACAACTATTTTACATCATCGCCCGGAATTATTGGGTATCAAAAACCCAACACCTGGTCTGAGATTCACAAAACCACTCTCTGTGCCAGTACACATAAGGTGTATAATTGGTATATTTCGTACAATTTCGCTTGTTTTATTTCTTTACTGGATAAATATATGTAAGTCATGATTTTAACTTCCTAACTGTAGAGTAATTCCACATTTCTTATCCCCTCATGTTGCAGGATTGGATACATTTCTTAAATGCAGGATCTCAAATAAACATTTCTTATAATGTGAACCCTCCAAGATCATCTTTTCTTGTCCTTGTTATTGCCCAAGGTACTATTGTTGAACCCTCTAACTGAAATTCTCTTTAGATTTACTGCACTTGGAAAAATGAGGAAGAATTGCACGGGATTGTTGGAAAATCGAATTGTGGTAATGTAAATTATATTTCAATGGGTGTATAGTTCTGATGGTTAAAAATAGAAATATATGTACATGTTTACATGATAACAGCGTAAGGTTTCTATAATGTGCAATAATTTGGTATGACAGACAAATGTTATGGCTATGTTAGTAATTTGGCCCAGATACATGTCCATTGCTCTGATTATCTTGCAGAGATTTGAAGAAAATTCTATTTCCCAAATTATATATGAAACTTTATGGTTAAAATAGCAGAAACCAACAATTGTGATTCTCAAACAGTCAAACATTGTTTGTTCCTTTCTTCCATAAACTGTTGCCTAAGCTTCAATAATTGAATAAGCATTTCCTATGAGCTGAATTGCAGGGAATGAAGGTCTTGCTCAGTGGATTGAGGATCCATCATATCCAAATACCACCTTATCATGGAACATCATTCATGGCGAGATATCATATCTTTGCTGCTTAATCTTTCTATTTTATCCCAACCAACTTCTTATCTAAAGGCAATGGCATAATCTAGCATCATGTGTTTAAGCCTTCTACCTACTACATAGCAGTGGGTAACTTGAATTCTGAAGCAGTAGAGGCAAGTGTACTAAATTCATTTAGCTCTTGTTTATTGTTTCTGCAGAATCTTTCAGACATTCTACTGAGTCCCATCTGGATTAAATATCCACCAGTCTTTGTTTTATTGATCTACTATTACTTATTCCTTCCTTTTGGTTTTCTGATGATTCATTATTATAATTATATGTTGTTTTCTTAGTATTTGTTATGTCGAACAGGTGCATTTGAACTTCAGAATAAAGGATTTCCTTTACAATACCACAGGGTCGTATTACAAGTGTACTCCTGCTCATATTCAATGTGTTTTCAGTCTGCATTTCCCTAGTGAAAATTCTGCTCTTCTTACCTTCCCGGGTAGAAAGTCTGTGAGTCTGATCTCTTCTTTAGATTTTTTGAAAAAATGAAATTTATCGATGTTTTTGTCATGCCCTTAAGACTGGAAAAACAATCAATTCTATACCCTATAAGTGGTGGAAATGGCATTCCTCAGAAATTAAAATGCTTTTGGCAGGAACCTTAATTTATTGATTTCTTGATCAACAACTAACAACTGAGGCACCAACAATACAGAATCAGCAATATTTCCCACCACTGCTTTTATCAAAAATATGTTATATATTAACAAATTTCGAGATGGTTTTCAGCTAGATCTTTGTGATAAACAGATTAGATGTATCTGAGGGCTTGCTTGGGAGTTTTTTCTCCACCAGCTTTGATCTGTTGCAAGCGGCACTGTTTATGAGGGATTGGAAAATTCGTTGCTTACTAAATTTTTAGGCACCGGTTTTGGATTGTTTAAAGGTGTAGCGTAATTTTGAGTACTTCTCTCAATCCAACAAATCGGTGCGTTTTGGCTGTTTCTCATGGTCTCTTGTAATTTTACATTACATAAAATAAAGCAGCATATTTTGTTCATAACTAACTTATAAATAAATAAATAAAAAACATTAACTAAAAAATTATTTATAAGCAAAAAAAGTTACTCTATGACTGGAACTTCTTTTCTGATTATTTTTGTTTATTGATATGTCCATATTGTTATTATTATAACTTGGAATTGTCTTTTTCTTTAGGGCATGGCCAGTGTTGGCTGGCACATTAGACTATCTTATGGACCTAGATGGATCATATACATTGGTGGTTTAGGTAAATTTCACCATTCTGTTTCGTTGGAAAGCAAATTCAATTTTATCAGATATCTCGGTTTCTTCTTGATTAATTTCTTATTCAGGTGGAATGACAGTCCTCGTGTTGCTCATGAATTGCTATTTGAACCATTTGCAACGTAGCCGCCAAGATCAGGGCAGAGATCAATTTGGAGCTATGCAGTCTGAGAGAAATCCTTTCTTTTTACAAAAAGACAGTGATCTGTCAAGCTGGGGTTCGTCTCATGACTCTGTCTCACAAGACGATAAGTTTTGCGAAGAAGGGTGGGTGGGGGGTTTTAGTGGAGGAGAAGCCAGTTAAAGACGGTGAATACAGCAACAATATGATGCGCCTTTGTGCTATTTGCTATGATGCTCCAAGGGACAGTTTCTTCCTTCCATGTGGTCATTGCGTGGCATGTTTTGCATGTGCGACAAGGTAGCTCCTCTTTATCCCAGTATTTAGCTTTCTCCTCTAAATTCTAAAGTTAATATCTGTTGAGATCTCACTGGTTCTTCGGAATCAAATTGAAGTCATATCCTTCATCAACATTTTTTGAGAAGCCCGTCGCAATGTTTCATAGTAGTGATTAATCCTCCAAACCTTTGGAATTGATTGTGTAGATTCATATAAACACCACAACCTGATAACTTTTCAAATATGTTGAATCATTTTGTATAACAAAGGCTAAAAGATTTGTTGGTCTTTGGGATTAGAAAGAAACATATTAGGATAGTATTTAGGGCTCGTTTGGCATTGCTTTGGAGAAGCTAAAAAGAATTTCTGAAATCCAAAAATTGCTTTTAAACTTGTTTGATTAATTTTGAAAAAAATGTTTCTTTTAGTTAGAAGAGTTTTCAGATAATGCTAATCCAATGTAACTTCCTCTAAAAACTCTTTTAGAAGAGGAAACTCTTTTAGAATTAGTATTTAAACGAAAAAAATAGTTTCCTCGATAACCTCTTTACAAAAAGCAGAAGCCTTGCCAAACGAGCCCTTAGTTTCCATAAGTTTCTCGTGGCTTATTAGCACAAAACGTTTCTACATTTGACCTTTAGTGTACAAAATATCCCTACGTTTCAAATTTTTGCATTTTCACTTTTATTTTCATGTTTTATTGCGGAATACATCAATTTTCATCCATTTTCTCAATAAAAGTCTGTGAAATGATAAATATATCCTTTTATTTAAATAAAACAAGAATAAAATAAAAGAAAAATAAAGAACTAATTGTAATCATAGGTCCTAATTTTTCAAAAAATTACAAATGAATCCCAAACAGATAGTTAACAATCAAAACTAAAAAAACAATAAATAACTTCATCTACTTTCCCCACCCCACTCATTATTTTGGAGACCTCATGGAGATGTCGGCCTTCTATCTCACCAACCACCATTCAACCGCCACGTAAAGTGCTTAAGTGCACACCACAAACCGCTGCCATGAACCCCAAAAACTTTCCCATAAACCAAGTGAACAAAGAACAAATTTATATGGACAAAATCAACAAAAAAACGCAGCTGGTTGTGAGCAACATGATTTTTTTATTTTTTATTTTTGGGTTAATTTTGACGCCTACGGTAGTTCCCACCATTGTGGACCACCCATTCCGGCTTCGCCACATTCACGTTGCACCTGTTACAACAATGGGCTTCCATTAATTTTGTTATAAATATGATGTTAATATTTAGTTTTAATCATGTTAAGAATCGATAATCACAATCCAATAAATTAATAAAAACGAATTCATACATGCGGAAGCCATTGTTGATATGAATGATAGTTGTAATAGCAGTCAAGATCTTCCCCCCTTGCTCCTCACAAAGTATTAGATATCAATGGGGCAAGCCAATAAAAAATTTATGGAGAGGAGAGGGGACCTAACCTTTATATAAGAAATAATTGAGCCGACCCATTACGACTAGAATTCTAATTAGGGCTTATTTCCGGTCTACATACTTTAAATTATCACATCAAATTAATTACAACATGTAAGGTGTAAAAGACCCAATTGATCACTTAATAAATTTGGCCCAAACACAAATATCATTATGAGCCATACTTCTAACCCATAAAATTTGCAATTAAATGTAAAGCCCACATATAAAATTATAAATTATTCCAATATTTTCCCACTTGGGCAAACATTTGATTGCCATAACAAAGTTTTAATACCCGGGTTAGAATACATAGGTAGCCACAAAATTATAGCTCCAATGATGACTCTTTACGTAACATGATCCGGTCCAACAAGAATATTAACACCGAACATGGAAGTCATTACACCAATTAAGCGATGTAAGACCATTCCACAGCAACAAATGTCAACATCTTTATCGACGTGGATCCCCATCCTCCAACCAATGTGGTAGTATGTGGTATGAACTTAACACCAAATGTGATAAAAAACTGTGATAACTCATATCGGTTCTCATATTGCTTCTGACCAAAATGAAGCCACATGTCTCCAAACGAGACTCATCTTATGTCTTTATACGTTATATTTCAAGATGCCAATAATATAAAAAGACATAAGTCAAATGCATGCTTAAAATAGTTCATGGATAGGGGAAAAATGATTTTATTATCAGAAGAGGCTGTACCCGAAAACATATGTGTTGCCTACGTATCCCATAAATGGATTAAGCCCAAAACGTAGTTCTTTACATATATATAACTCCTACTAACCAAAAATATCAAATGTTTCCATAATGCCCATATTAGTAACATGTGTCTTAAAGACTTTTGGAGCGAGTCCCTTAGTCAAGGGATCTGCAACCATTTTCTCTATATTGATATGCTCTATTTTTGTCTACCATTCTTTAACTCTGTCTCTAACAACCAAATACTTGATGTCAATATGTTTTGATCCACCAGAATTTTTATTATTCTTTGAAAAGAATACTGCTGCACTGTTATCACACTAGATGGTGATCGGTCTTGAGATGAAATCAACAACTTTCAAGCTAGAGATGAAATTTCTTAACCAAACGGTTTAGACTGTAGCCCCATAACATGCCACAAATTCAACTTGCATAGTAGAAGATGCCACTAGAGTCTATTTAGCACTTTTCTAATAAATGACACGACCAGCTAATGTAAAAATATAACCTGAGGTTGATTTCAAATCATCTTGACATCAAGTAAAATCAGAATCTGAATATCCTAGCACCTCAAGATGATTTGTATGCTGAAATGTAAGCATATAACCTTTAGTTTTTTTCAAATATCTCATAACTTTTTTAGCTGCTTTCCAATGCTCTAGTCCTGAATTAGATTGAAATCTGCTAAGGACACTTACTGCGTAGACTATATCCGGTCTAGTGCAAACTTGAGCATACATCAAACTCCCCACAGCATTAGCATATGGAATCATTTTCATAGATTCTCTTTCTAGCTCATTCCTTGGACATTGAGTTTTGTTAAATTTATCTCCTTTTATGATAGGTACATCACCAGGTACACAATTTTGCATATTAAACATTTCTAGAACACGTCGTATATAAGTTTTCTGAGAAAGTCCCAATAAGCCACGATTTCTAGCACGATATATTTCAATGCCAAGTACATAAGAAGCTTCTCCAAGATCTTTCATCTCAAAATTAGCAGACAACATTTTCTTTACCTCATGAAGCAACCCTAAGTTATTGCTAGCAAGCAGAATGTCATCAACATACAGTACAATGAAAATAAAATTTCACCCACTGGTTTTAAGATAAATGCATTGATCAATAGTATTTTCAACAAAACCAAGAGAGGTCACAACCTCATCAAATTTCAAATACCACTGTCGATATGCTTACTTAAGTCCATACAATGATTTGTTTAACTTACACACCAAGTTTTTTTTCCTTTCACAACAAAACTTTCAAGTTGTTTCATATAAACCATTTCAGAAAGATCTCCATTCAAAAATGCCGTCTTAACATCCATTTGATGAAATTCCAAATCGTAGTGTACCACAAGAGCCATGATAATTCGAAAAGAATCTTTCGACGAAACAGGGGAGAAGGTTTCAACATAATCAATGCCCTCTCGCTGAGTAAAACCTTTTGTAACCAATCTTGCTTTCTTTCGTTCAACATTTTCTTTTGAATCTAATTTACTTTTGAAAATCCCCTTGTTATATACAACCTTAGCAGTTGGAGGAAGTTCAACAAGATCCCAAATTTTATTCATTTCCATGGAATTCATTTCATCTTCCATGACAGCTATCCATTTATCTGTCTCAGAACTTGTCAATGCTTGGTTATAAGTTACAGGGTCAACAATATGCCCAATATTAAAATCGCTCTTCAATATATATGTAATATAATCACTGGGCAATGCAAATCTTCTTTCCCTTTGTGATCTCATAACTTGTGGATCAGGAATCGATTCAATCGTTGTTTGAGGAATTGGAGATTTCTCCTGGCTCCTCGGTTCTTCATTAAAAATTTCAATTGGTCGAGAACCAACTCTTTTCTATATGATAGGAACTAGAACAACAACTTGATTAGGTTCACCAAGAATTTCTCTCAACATGAAAATCCCACTATCTCCAAATCGTTCTCCAAAAACTTAGCAGTAATGAACTCCACAATTCTAGTGCTGCGATTTGGACAATAAAACTTATATCCCTTTGATCTATCCGGATACCCAATAAAGTAGCCAGGAGTTGATTTATGGTCTAATTTCTTTTCAAATGGATTATAAATCCTAACCTCAGTTGGACATCCCCAAACTTTAAAGTGAGTCATACTTGGCTTACGTCCTGTCCATAATTCAAAAGATGTCTTTGTAACAACTTTACTTGGAACTCTGTTCAAAATATACATAGCTGTTTTCAAATCTT